CTATTTGATGGACATCACTATGATGAATAGAGGATGTGTACGAAAACGTTCCTTCAGGCCACTGACTTTGACCTATGGGTAATTGTCAGTCATGGACCTATCATCCCGACCAAAATGGATGGTGAAGGTAACAAATGTAACAAGATAGAAGAGGAATATAATGATGAAGATCGTCAGTTAATTCAAAAAAATGCTAAAGAAAAGGACTTGCTCTACAGAAGTTTGTCCAGAAGTATTCTCTACAAGGTGTCCTCTTGTATCTACCCATGATATATGGAAGACCTTGGAATATGACTTTGGAAATGAAAACATTGAAGTGGAACTGATGGCAATTGAAGAAAGTCAAACAGAAGAAGTGATAAGAATGATGGCCATGAGTGAATCAGAGACTAAAGATGAAACAAATTAGGTAAGTATATCTAACTTGAAAGAAAACATTCATGCTATGTCTAAAAAATAACTGATGACTATAATTGTGACCATGATGAGTGAAATAGACAAAGTGAGTGCTGGAAATGATTAGTTAATAAGCAATCTTTTGTGTGTCAAACTTGATCTCAAAGAACTTGAATCTGACAAAGCTGATCTTGAAGGACGGGTCAAAGACCTTAAGAACCAGGTTCTTGAGCTCACTTCTAAAAATGAGAAGTCACCTGATACACATGGTAAGGAAAAAATGAGTGATCTGCAAGGTAAGCTTGAAAAGGAACTAAAAGGGGCTAAATATAATCTTTGTAATGCTGAATGTAGGAATAAAGTTATGCAAGAAAATCTAGAAAAGGATAATTATGAACTATCTAGACTAAACAAATGGCATAGATCCTCAGATGCTTTGAATTGGCTGAATGAAAACTGCAGCACTAACAAATCAGGAATTGGCTATAGAAAACCTATTCCCAAATTTGATCCAAAATATGTAGGAATTTCTCATAACAAAATGTGCACTCATTGTGGAAAGGTAGGAAACTTTAGAGATACCAGCCTTGCCTTAATTCATGCTCAGTTTAAGAATACCTTTTATCTTGCTAAAAATATGAAGAATGAAGAGGAACCAAAAGGCAAGCCTCTTGTCTAAATTAAGTGGATTAAGGTTAACAAATAAACACCTATTAATCCTCTTCCCTTCTGGGCAAGAAGAGATCTCATTCATCATTTTTCAAATAAAAAAGGACCCAAGCTTGTCTGGGTTTCCAAGACTAACATGTGATTTCTGGTGCAGGCTAAAGTGAGAGGGAACAATCAAGTCTGGTATCTAGACAGTGGATGTTCAAGACATATGATTGGAGAAAAGAAACACTTCCTCTCACTGACAGCCTTCCAAGGATGGAGTGTGTCATTTGGAAATGGAAAAAAGGCTAGATAACTGGTATTGGTAAGGTCGGTAAGTTACTCTCTCAAACTATAGAAGATGTGTATTATGTCGTAGGCCTGAAACATAATCTCCTTAGCATTTCTCAAATGTGTGATAAAGGAAATAAGGTAAAATTCAATTCCAAAATCTGCACTGTCACTAAACTTGATACTGATGAAGTTGTATTAAAAAGTAAGAGACATAACAAAGAGTGAGAACACATGCTTAAATATAGTGTAAGATGATATATTGTTATGGCATATAAGACTTGGTCATGACAGTCTTTCTCAACTTAACAAGTTAGCAGCAAAGGACCTGGTCCTTGGCCTACTAAAAGATTTTTCTACTCAGACAAGGTATGTGATGCATGTGTTAGAGGAAACATTTAAGGTTACCTTTCAAATATAAAAAGGTTGTCAGCACCTCCAAACCTCTGAAACCCCTTCACATGGACCTATGTGGACCAATGATAGTGAGGAGTAGATGAGGCAAGAGGTATGTGTTTGTCATTGTAGACGACTTTTTCAGGTATACATGGACTTTGTTTTTGGGATCTAAAGATGAAACTTTTGATATTTTCTGTTGTCAGAATGATCCAACAGAAATTGGGCTGTAATGTGTTAAGTGTAAGAATAGAACATGGAACTGAGTTTAAAAATTCAAAATTCCTTGCGTTTTGTAACACACATGGTATTGACCATTACTTCTCTGTACCTAGAACTCCACAACAAAATAGTGTTGTAGAAAGAAAGAATATTTCTCTAGAACACATGGGGAGGACCATGCTGATTGCTAGTGGACTTCCTAAAAGCTTCTAGGATGAGGCAGTCAATACTGCTTGCTACTTGATAAATAGATGCATGGTCAGACCTATTCTTGAGAAAACTCCCTATGAGTTACTTCGAGGGAGAAAGCCCAACATCACTCACCTAAGAGTATTTGGGTGCAAATGTTTTGTGCACAATAATGGCAAAGAAGCTCTAGGTAAGTTTGATGACAAAAGTGATGAGGGAATTATTTTGGGTTACTCTCCACATAGTAATGCCTACAAAGTTTTTAATTAAAGAAATATGTGTGTAGAAAAAAATGTTCATGTTATTTTTGATGAATCTAACAACTTGGCTGAGAAAGGTCTGTAGGTTGAAGACTATGACATAGGACTCATTGATGAAGGAGATCCTAAAGAACCTAAACTTCAACTTGAAGATGGATCCGGAGATCCTAAGGAAGTTGAGAGTGATCATGAGGAACAAGAAGAATAGAGAACTACTCTGACTGCTAACTAGTCTGATGAAGCTATACCTACTGACCCTATTCCTTTGGGTCACTCCTTGGGTGAACCATCTCTAGGAATGCAGATTAGGCCATGGAAACATCAAAGTTCATACCCCCTTGAGAACATCATCTCTGATCCTAATGCAGGAGTGCAAACCATGTCATCTTTGAGAAATCTATGTGCACTCACAACATTTCTCTCACAGGTTGAACCTAAGAACATAAAGGAAGATCTAAAGGATCAAAATTGGATTATAGCCATGCAAGATGAGCTAAATCAGTTTGAAAGAAGCAAGGTCTGGCACTTGGTACAAAGACCCAAGAACAGAACTATCATAGGTACAAGATGGGTGTTCAGAAACAAGCTGGATAAATAAGGAAATATCACAAGGACCAAGGCTAGACTAGTGGTTGAGGGATAATATCAAGAAGAAGGCATTGACCATGATGAGATATTTGCACATGTAGCTAGAATGGAAGCTATAAGAATGCTAATAGCCTTTTCTACACACATGGAGTTCAACTTGTATCAGATGGATGTAAAGAGTGCATTCTTCAGCGGTTATCTGAAGGAGGAAGTGTTTGTTAAACAACCTCCTGGGTCTGAGAGTGAAGAATTTCCTGACTATATGTTCAAGTTAGACAAAGCCCTGTATGAACTAAAACAGGCTCCAAGAACTTGGTAGGACGACTCTCAAAATTCCTCTTAACTAATAACTTTGTAAGAGGAAAGGTGGACAACACACTATTTCTGAGGAGCAAAGGTAAAAATGTTCTCATTGTACAAGTATATGTGGATGACATTATCTTTGGAGCTACTAATGAAGCAATGTGCAATGAATTTGCTAAGATGATGGGGAATGAGTTTGAAATGAGCATAATGGGTAAATGGAGCTTCTTTCTGGGGTTGCAAATCAAGAAAGCACCTACTATAACCATGATACATCGTCAAAAATACATCAAGGAACTACTGAAGAAATTCAACATGGAATCCTCTAAGTCCATAGAATTTCTCATTGCCATTGCAACAAAATTGGACCTTAATGAAGAAGGGAAAAGTATTGAATAGAAGCTATATAGAGGAATGATTGGGTCACTGTTGTATCTCACAACAAGCAGGCCTGATATTGTATTAAGTGTGGGACTGTGTGCAAGATTTCAAGAAAATCCAAAAGAGTCGCATCTGAAGGCTATCAAGAGGATACTTAGATATCTTAAAGGGAGTCATGATCTGTGTCTATGGTATCCTAGAGGGTATAGCTTTGATCTAGTTGGTTATGTTGATATTGACTATGCAGGTTTTCATGTTGACATGAAAAGCAATTCAGGAATAGCATATTTTCTAGGTTCTTGTCTGGTGTCTTGGGAAACAAAAAAAAGCAGAACTCGGTGGCTTTGTCCACAGCTGAGGCTGAATATATGATAGCAACATCTTGTTGTGCTCAGTTGCTGTGAATAAGACAACAACTAAGAGACTATCATATTTTTATTGATTGTATTCCTAATTTCTGTGATAACACTAGTGCCATAAACATTGCTAAAAATCCCTGTCAACACAAGAGAATCAAGCACATTTACATTAGACATCACTTTCTCAGAGACAATGTTGAAAAAAGAAATATCTCAATTAACTTCTGTAAAACTGAAAACCAAATTACTGATATATTTACTAAAGCTTTGAGTAGGGATCACTTTGAAAGGAATGAACTGGAACTAGGTCTAACTAATACTTCCAACTAGATCGAACCCCAATGATTGTCTATAAAAAGTATAATTAGATGTAGATAGTCAAGTACAATGTGTTTGATTCAGTCTCATGCTTGTATTAAGCACACACACTTGCCTAGAAAAGTCTAGCTGATAACTACGTTGTATGATACTAACTTGTAGTGGTGAAGCTTTATTGCAGAAATGATTAAGGAGTTACTAGGGAGTTGGTTCTTTGACTCAGGTACGTGCCATCTTGTCTTAATTCATTGAGGCTTAATACCTTAAATTACTGCTATGCTTAAACTTTCTAATCCTGTTAGCATCACTTCTAGTTGTCATCTAGTCAAAGAGTAAGGGGGAATCCTAGAGCAATTAGAGTTTAATTACTCCTGAAATCCTAACAGTCAAAGTAACCGTTATTAGAGTCCCGTTAGAAGTCAAATTTGGTTACTCTCTCTTCTAGTCAAATCAGGAGTTACGTCTTTAAAAGCACATTATGATCAATTTGTCAGACCTCACTGTTCCTCTCAAACCCTAAGCAAGAATCAAGAAATAATTCTCTCTTTCCCTTCATCGATTCTCTTCTCTCATCATCATGCCTAAATCCAGCCAAACCTCTTCTAAAGAAAAATCATCATCCAAGACTGAAGACAAATCCAAGACCATGAAGCCCAAATCAAAGAAAAATGTCAAACCATCAAGTGAACCTGCACCCACACCTGCTCCTTCTCCATCAATATCCTCCACTGTATCTATACCATCATCCCTTGTTCTTGATGCACTCACCGTTCCTAATTATACTGGGCCTTCACTTCTAATACCAACCACCCATGCATATGTGTTTGCTTCGAAAAACACCTCTAAGTCAACCAAGATCAAAACTACTCTAAGAAAATCTATAAAGAGTGACAAGGTATTGCTTGATGCTGCTGCTAAAGTAGACATAGTAGTTAATGAAGCATGTGGTTCAGGGGGAATCAATGTCAATTACAACAAGTCAGGTAAAACTCCCTCCATCAAAGTTATATATTGTGTTATCTGCTATAGATGTTGTACCCTTAGATAATGTCCCACCCAAAAGAGATAAATCACAAGTGGAGGAACCTACTGTAGAAACGAACATTGCAACTCCGAAGAAGGGTAGATTCCACTGATGTTATGCTTATGGTTCAGGGGGAAGGTAGTAAAGAACCAGTATAAAAGGATGCATCTGATGGTCTTTCTTTCAGCTGGACTTAGGATGAGGATGATAATGAAGGTGAGGAAGCAGGAGGAATAGTGGCCAGTCATGAGGAACATCAGACTCAGGACATGGCTAATGAAGAGAAAAAGAGTGAGAATGAGGGAGATTCTAGTAAAGAGAAGGAGAGTGAGATAGAAGATAAGATAGATGAACAAGTGGATGATTCTGGAGAGGAAGAAAAGAATAGTGAGGAAGAAGGTGATTCTGAGAGTGAAAGTGAGGATCAAGAAAAAGAAAGTGAGAGTGAAGGAGAGGATGAAGAGAGTGAGGAAGAGAATGATAATACAAGTGGGGAATCAGAAGGCTCTATGACTATTGGGAACACTGTCATAGCCCCTTCAGAGGAAGCAAGTGGAGAGAAAAGGACTGAAGAAACTGGGCCCTTGTTAACTATTTTCACTGGAGATGAGGAGGTCAGTAGTGATGAAGATAAATTGCCCTTGTATGCAGTAGGAAAAAAAACCAGGAAGACCCCTGTGAAAGCAACAAAGCCTGTTATCCCTGCAAGGAAAGAAATGACTCCTCCTGCTAGAACTCATCTCACAAGGAGTAAAAGAAAGTTTGTTGATGAATAAATCATGAAAGAGTCCAGAGGTGCCAAGAAACCAAGGAAGCAAGTTTCAGTTGTGGAACCTGTTGTTGAGTTGGATGGAGAAGATGAGTCTGATTTTGCTCTGCTAGAAAAGTCATCAACACAAAAGAGAAAGGTTGTCAAATCTACAAAGACTTATACCCCATCTACAAGTACCAGTAGAGGAAAGAAGAGAAAAAGTGTGCTTGTTGTGGTTGATAAACTCACTGAGTTCAGGAACATAAATGTACTGAATTGGAAGATTCTTGCAAATACTAATGAAAAAGGGATGGCTCAACTAGTTGAAAAACTGGAAACACATGTTTGTCAAGGCTTTCCCTCCTGTGTGTGTACCTATTGTGGAGGAGTTCTATGCAAACTTCCAGTTTGATGGAACGGTGGTCAAGAGTAATGTAAGGGGGTTTGAGATGGAGTTTGATGCTGAGGGGATGGGGATGCATCTGAATATTCCCTCTTTAGGTTTTGACAATTACTTGAAGAAAAAGTGGCTAGCCATAGATAATGATGTGGACACAGAAATTGTGGTCACAAGGAAGTTCTCTTAAAAATTTAAATTGGATGCTCCCCATAAGGTGTATAAGACTGATATGACCCCCTTCGACAAGTTGTTTCACTTTGTCAATTCCTGTATTTTGCAGAGGTCTGAGAGAAGACACAAGGCTACCCTGTTGAATATGGCTGTGATGGAACTGCTTGACACTGGTAAACCTACCCATCTCCCTAGTCTGATGATTCAACACATGGCAAGAGCTGCAAACACTTCCTAGCCTAAGCATGCTATGCCTTATGGCTTCATATTGACCGAGTTGTTTGAGAAGCTCAATATTGCCTTGCACGAGCTTAAGTTTGGAAATCACAATGATGTTTGGGATGATGTTACCCTCAAGCAGTGTGGCTATGAGGAGATCAAGGCTAGAGGACTAACATGTTCTTCTATTCTACCTGGTAGTAGCAAGTCAACAGAGCTCACTAAGAGGTTGGAGTTGGCTGTTGAAGAGAATGCCAAGGTTCGAGAATACAATGATGAGTTGAAAAAAGAAATCAGGCAGCTTAGGGAAGAGCTCATATGGCAAAGAGAAGCTCATGCCTAACAGATTGCCACCCTTGTGAAAGCATTGAGCCCCTCTGCCTCTCACCCACGAACCTGGTCCTTCTCCAGTGTCCTTATTTTCTTGTGTTATCCAGTGATGCTTTAGTTTTTGTTTCTTCTGTTCCAGTCTGAGTTGGTTGCAACATGTTTAGTTTATTTTGTTCTAATAGTTTAAGACAAGGCCCTGGGCTTATTTTGGCACTGCTAAATGACTTCTCTTATAATGTTTTAATGCTTCGCACATGGTTAGATCATCAACTTAGTTTGTTTGCTTTGATAAATATTGAGCTTGTGATGTAGCCTAAGTGGCCATGAATCTTTCATTAACTGCGTGCTTAATATGTCTAACATCTTTTTGTTATTTTTCGATGATGCCAAAAGGGGGAATATAGAGTTGGGGATGTTGTGTTGGTGTGGATATGTCTGTCTGTGTGATGTGATGTGTTTGATGATCATGATTTGGTATGAGTACTTGGTTCTAGTATGAACAAAGTTTGTCATCATCAAAAAGGAGGAATTTGTTTAGTATTGAGATTTTGATGATTAACAAAGTTTATTCAGATGAAATGTTCTAAGAACCAGGTCCTCAACCTAGCTGCTTAACCACTCTAAGAACCAGCTCCTCAGGGTTAAGGACCAGCTCCTCGAGGATGATGATTGTGCGTCTTTACAAGACAGTAACTTTATCTCAAAGTAACATGTAACGATTCGGCCGGTCTTTTTGAGAGTTGTATCCCCGTTCCCCCATTTACTGCTGATTTTGTTCTTTATAGTTTTTATATGACTTTCCGGGATAGTTGATTCGTGTCTGGAGAGGTTTCGGAATGAATCAAGACACTTAGTCTCAAGATTGGAAGCTTAAGTTGAAAAGGTTTACCGGATATTGACTTATGTGTAAACGACTCCAGATTGGAGTTTTGATGGTTCCATTAGCTCCGTCGGGTGATTTTGGACTTAGGAGCGTGTCTGGATTGTGATCTGGAGGTCCATAGTTGAATTAGGCTTGAAATGGCAAAGTTGGAAATTTGGAAGTTTGACTGAGAGTTAGACTTTGTGGTTACCAGGCTCGGATTGGGGTTCCGGGAGTTGGAGTAGGTTCGTGGCATCATTTGTGAATTGTATGCAAAATTGGAGGTCAATCGGACGTGATTTGATAGGTTTCGGTAGCGTTTATAGAGTTGGAATTTCCTTAGTTTCAATAGGCTTGAATTGGGGTGCAATTCGTGTTTTTGATGTTGTTTGATGTGATTTGAGGGATCGACTAAGTTCGTATCGTGTTTTAGGATTTTATTTGTATAATTGGTTGAGGTCCCGGGGCCTCGGGTGGAGTTCGGATGGTTAACAGATCGAATTTGGAGTTTGGATGATTGCTGAAGCTAGGAGTCTGCTGGGGTAATCGCACATGCAGAGCTTTGGTCGCAGGTGCGAGCTGGGAGGCGCATAAGCGGAGTTTGGACTGGGGGTTGTGGAGCGCAGATGCAGAAGGATTTTCGCAGGTGCGGACTCACACCTGCTCGTGTGGGATCGCAGAAGCGGAGAGTAAATATTTATAAACATGTAAAATTACATAAAAATTAAAGAAAATTATAAATATGTGGTGTATATATATAGATGTGCTCCATCCCCACAAAAACTAGTCAAAGCAATCTATTATATGCTATAGATGTGCTCCATCCCCACAAAAACTAGTCAAAATAATCTATTATATGCTACTTATAAGCACAAGTAACTTGAGTCTAAAAGAATAAAGTTTTCTACATGGAGGAACAAAAAGGATGACTAACCTACAATTTGAACTTTGAACTTGTTGCTATGAAGGAGAATGAAGTTCTCTTTGTATTTGTAAAAACAAAATTGAATATTCGTTGCTTTTGGGAGATATTAGTAAACTAGTGGACAAGATAAAGAATTGGGAAAGACTATGAATTAGGTCTTCAATCAATAAAAAAGGTCTTGACTTTTAAATTTAATACATTTTAGTTCCTTTTTAAAACTTTTGAGTAATTACCAAGCTGACTTTTAGGAATTTGGGTATTATATGAAGGACTTATCCAACAAATTTTATTTTAATTTGAAAAGGTCTCTAGGGCTTACGCCTCACTAAAAAAATACGCCTCAAACACTCGGGCGTATGCCCCTAAATGCTGGGTGTACACCTCTTGAGACTTTCTCCCCATACCATCTCCTCGGGGCGTTTTTAGTGCACCTCGCCCCGAAACACCTTTTAAAACACTGATTCCAAGGGTGTGAAACCCCGAATTTCGTATTATGTGATTGGTGTTGAGGTGACGCATGTGCTAAGTGACGGGCATGTAGGCGTGAATAGTAAGAATTGTGACTTGGTCAATTCCATGGAACTGAATAGTTGTTAAATCTTGCTATTACTCGTATTTTCACCATGTGCTAGTTCTAGTGAGGTGTCAGTCATGTTAGAAACCCTGCTTTGGCTATATGATGGTACTATTGGGACCCATAGTGGTCATTCTTTGCTGTAGGACTAATTGCTTAATCTGTCAATTTGTACTCAGTCACGATTATAACTTGCATATTATGTCTCAGTCTCTATTGTCTTTACATTTTATATCATATCATCATTGTGGACTGATTATCATGATTTTTAGTGAGCCCGAGAGACTGGAGAGGTTATAGATTGAGTGGGGATGATGGCCTATTGTGAGTGATAGTTAAGGGGTCGGGCTGCATGCCGCAACAAGCTTTATTGATTGATGCTAGGATTTGGCTTATTATAGCGCTTGGGATGGATCGGCCCCTCCTGAGTCTGCACATCCACAGTGGGCGCAATACTAGCAGTTATGACATTTGGGTTGGATCTTCCCTGTTTTATTTGCACGTGGGCTGGATCTACCTTGTTATGTATTAAGTTTTGTTGTGAAATCTGAAAGCATGTCTAAGTTCTTGTTGAAAGCATGTCTAAATTCTTGTACCTCCACTTGTAGAATATAAATATCTAAGATATCATTGTTATATCTTCTGTAACTTTCCATACTATTAAATGTTGAAAGTGGAGCGTAATAATTGGACTTGTCACTACTTCAGTTCAAAGGTTAGATTTGTTACTTATTGAGTTATTTGTACTCACACTACACCCTGCACCTCGTGTGCTGATCCAGGTGCTTCCGGTTTCGGCGGTTGTTGATTTTCAAAGGCCAGACCTTCGGAGATCATTGAGGTAGCTGCTTGGAATTCACAGACCTTGACTCTCCTCCCTTATCTTTCTATTTATTTACTCAGTTTTACTTCTAGACAGTGTACTAGACTTTGTTATTTCGTAGATGCTCATGTACTCAGTGACACTTCAGTTTTGGGTAGAATTTATGTATTGAGTGATTATTTCCTATCCCGTTTTAAGAGATTTTCGTTTATTTAAACTATTTTGGTATCTTTCAAGGATTTAAAGTGTTGGAAATGTCTGAATAGTCGGCTGGCCTAGTACCATTATAGGCACTATCACGACGGGTTGGTTTTGGGTTGTGACAAGTTGGTATCAGAGCCTAGGTTACATAGGTCTCACGAGTCATGAGCAGGTTTTGTAGAGTCTTGCGGATCGGTACGGAGACGTCTGTACTTATCTTCAAGAGACTGCCGAACCCTTAGAAAACTTCACATTCTTGTATTCTTGTCGTGTGAATTTGTTGATTCCGGAAATCAAAACTTCTATTATTTTATTCTCTCACAGATGGTGAGGACACGTGCTACTAGACAGGACAGACTGCCACCAGTACTAGTAGCCAGGGCCACGAGAGGCCAAGGTCGCGGTGGGGCCATGGTAGGGGTAGAGGTATAGCTCGTACAGCAGCTAGAGCAGCACATGCAGATCCACCAGTTGCTCCAGCTCAGGAGCAGGTTCGATATATGGTTGAGCCAGCGGGGCC